AGCTGGCTGCAATGGCGTCCAACATGGACCGAGAAATGATACTGGCCGATTTCCAGGTAAATTTCAGACGCCCGTGGCCTCTCGCTGCTTTTCTCCTTCTCCTCGGTGCTGAGCTGCCTGTTCTTTGTGGGAAGGTCCGGGGCGGGGGTGTGAAGCCCACCCTGCAAAGCCTCCGCTCGCTCTTTCTGTTCTTTTTGTTGTCAGAAATGGGGAACATGTGCCTTTTTCTCTCAAGGTGCGTGAACAAAATGTCTTCTTTAACTTAAGAGAGTTTCAGTTTTTATTTTTTTATTTAAAAAAAAGAGAAAAATATTTTCATCCACTTTGCTTGTTCCAACCTTCTACAAGCACCCAGGCCCTGGGACAGCTGTGTGCCAGCTCACTTGGAAGAGGCAAATGCCAGGGAGGATACAAAGCTCATCACTCCTCATGATTTGTCACAGTGTTGGTAATGAATCACTCACCGGTACTACAGATTAGCGCTGAACAGAGGTGTTTCCATTATAGCATCAACACTCACTTCATGCTTGCCTCAGCCTATGACTACTGTCATGATGGTAAAACTCTTCCCACCCCATTCCAAACAACAACATGTTTGTGTAGCAAGGAATAATACGCCCTTAAAAGTTGTTTGTTACCTTCCCTTCTCCCTATGAAAGGGTTATAATTTAACTTTGAACTCCTAAATCTTCTTCCCAGAATAAAGTCTTTCTTTAAAGTGATAGTTAGCTTGTGTTCAGGAGCCTGGTTAATCGGTTCAGTATATTGCTTCTTAATATTGCTTGGTTTTATATTGTTTTTCTAAGAACAAGTAAACAAACAAGTGGAAGATACCTGTATTTGAAATGGTGGGGAGAGCCAAAAGCAGCTTGGAGGGGTATCAGACTATATTTGAATATATCTTTTTAATATTTGCTTTTCAATTTATTTTCTTTTAAGCTTTTTCTGTTTGCAGTGGTTTTTGCATGTACAGGCTCCTGCTTGTTCTTGGACTGAGTTGTAAAACTGCTGTCTGTATGCACAGCTTCTTAAAAGACTGTTTCTCATCTGTTACCTCTGAAACTATTTTATTTAGTTAAAAAAAAAAAAAAAGTAATTCACTCTGTGCTTAACAAGAGTGTTTCATTGGAATTGCAGGTAGGGTGACTGTAGTGTACATTATGTAATTCCTCTTTTGCAAAAGGTGTCTGATATCTCACTGACGTAACACGTGGAGTTCCCAGTTGATAACAGGGAAGTATTTCCCTTTCTGTACCTGAGTATCTTACACCCCATATTTATTAAAATGTTTTACAAATGTTTCTATAATGATCATTTATTTTGTTGTACTTGGAGATACTTTTGTGTGTGTAAAGAGTGACGTCTCAGTTTTAAGGCTGGAGTTTCATAAAGGAGTTTTTCCAGTAACAGTACACCGTGTAAAAGGAAACTGGGACCCCAGTTCTGCACTCATACTGGCAGAGACAGGCTCTTATGGAATCTCACATTATTAGGTTTACATTCAGGAATCCCAGATGATGCTGAAGTTAGTGGCTGGTGAATGCAATATATATATATAATTTTATTTTTTAATTTTTTAAAATAGAATTTTCAGTCTGTATCCACTTTGCAAGTTTTTTAGTGTCAATGCTGTTTTGCAGTTCTCCAGTATTTTTCTGCTTGAGTTTCAAACCCAATTAATAAAGGTATAAGAGCATTTGCAGTGTTTGGTACTACGAAGACAAGTAAGTATTATTGCAAACTTGCAGATGTGTGGTGGAGTCACAGAAACCAGTTGTAGATGAAGGATGACATAATCTGTCTGAACCTAGGAAATATTTTATCATGTAACAATGCTTATTTAAAAAAAAACCCCTTTGTTTTTCTGTTTCATCTTGTTTGTTTGTTTTTGTTTTTTAAGTAGTCTCAAGCTTCTACCTGATTCTGAAACACTGAACTGTCAATTGTCATGCTGTTAAAGCTTCAGATTAGTAAAGGACAATGTCAATCATTATTAGGCCTTGTATCTTTAAGCTGTTACAAAACAGTAAAGGATTTTGGGTATTTTAAATACTTGATGGAATTTACAACTCATTCACTAGGAATTTATAATGGAAAAGTGATCTAGCAAAATATTTTGTCTTAAAACATAATGTGCAAAGTAATACTGCATGATTTTCCCTTCTGTTTTCTGTACCTTTTAATTAATAAATATGTTTCTCAGAGTTCTGCTGCCATCTTCTATATTTGTGTGAGGTATCTTGTTGAATCACTGGAAATGTTTAAAGCAATTCTTTGTAGCTTTGTCCAGCTAATCTCTGCTGAACTAAGCTGGGAGGGAAACTTCCATCACCATTTCACGCTTGCCTTTCCCAAGTTGCTTTTAAGAGGGATAGAGCAGTGGTCTTTGAAGTTTTGAAACTTGAAGGAGTCTTCCCTCCTCATAAAAAATTTTTCGGTGAAGTCATAATTATACTGATGTTTGATGCTTTTGTGAAGTTTTCATGGACTTATTTTGTATCCTTCAAAGCCATTAGGGATTCTGCCATTGATTTCAGCTAGAGCAGGACCTTGTATTGCATTTGGTTTTTCCTTTTAGCTCTGATTATTGTAACAGGTTATTTCTACATGCTGAGGCACTAAAGAGAAATACTTTTAAAACAATTTTGTGTACATACATATCTATACATACAGACACTGAATAATTTTATAAAATATTTTAACTATAGAGTAAAACACAGTAAGTGATCTACCAAAATATTTTTTCTTAATGTCTCAAAACAATTTAAGCCTGTTCTGTGTGGTTTATAATGATTTTTTTTCCCCCTCTGCTTCTTTAATGAGGTTACTGTATGCTACCCAGGGAGTACAAAGTACGTATTCATGCATGTGGGCTGTATAAGCAACCTGTCTAACTTTTCCTTCTTAGGTCCTCACTTAGGAAAGATTATGCAGAAGCTTAGCTTTATACATTAGTCTGATTGTTTTCAGTGGAAGAAGCTAAAGTAGTGGAGTTAAGCACACAAACAAGTTTTAGCTGTTTTACTAAATGCAATTCAGAATTTCTCCACAAAGTGTCATTGGCATGTAGGAAAAACAACAACTTGTGTTTGTAGCATGAGTTCTTTAAAAAGGTAACTGCATGTGAATTTGTAAAAGAGCGATGCTGCAGCTTACTTCATTCACATGCTGGGGGAAATAAGGGCATGTAATTTCTGCCAGTTTTTGTTAACGTCTCTGTTCTTTTGTTTGTTGTCATTAACTGCAAAATGTTCTTTCATCTCCAGTGGGATATCCGGGTACTCACACGACACAAATGTATCTGTAATCTCTGCAGTTTGGGGTCCACTTTTTATTATAAAGAAAATAGATTTTTTTTTAATTGCAGACTTTATTTGCACTGAACTTACTTAAATTGGCATACTTAAACTGCTCAGGAATGAAAAACAATCTTTGAGTATTGGCAGAAGCGTCAGACGTCGACATTTTTGTATGCTGGCACCTTTACTTTTGTTTTTACAGCTTCAGTTGGGATGGGGACTAAAATTAGCAAGAATATCTTTTTGTCATGTAAGTTGTGTCTGCCTGTAGGACCGCTTGATTCGTCCTGTGTGACTGTCCCCACAACAATTCTAAATGTAGGGTAGGCCTAAGAGTTGGAGTATTGTGGGAGTTGCCAGCTTCTGGATGTCCACATAATACAAGAGTGGAGCTTCAGAAGGAAGTTTTTCATAGAATTCATGATTTTCATTGATCAAATAAATAAGCAGCTCAAGTTTTGCTCTGGGTGGGAAGACTTCAGAATGGAATGGCAAAACTTAAAAATCCTTGCTTTCACCAAAACAACAGCTATCTAATAGTTTTCTTCTTCTTCTTCCTTCTGTCTTTCATTTGTGTTCATTGTGAAACAAAGTTATGTGAGGTTTTTTTCTTTTTGCATTTTTTTAACTGGGTGATAGACTGCTTCACACGCATGTTTATAAAAATATCTTTTTTTCAAACTTCATCTCTGTGTCAATCTTTTCATAAAAACAGAGGTTTGTGGGAGGAGCAAGGGGGAATTGGGAAGGAAGAACCTCATTGCCATCAGTTACAGAAAGGTGAGAAAGCATGCTAGATGATAATGTTTTCAGTTATAAAATTGGCCATGACATTGATACATAAGCTTATTATTTCTTTCTTTATTTCTTTTTTTTTTTAAGATTTAACCATAATTCAAACTACTTGTTTCCTTCTGGAATGGATAAAATAAAAGACACTGGAGAATCTTTTCTCCTTGGAAGTTAATACAATGCCATTAAATAACTGGCAAGATGTATTTTTAAAGATTTTTTTGTGTGTGTGTTTGTGGTGGTGGTTATGAAAAGCATCCGTCTGCTTCAGCCCTGTGCAAGGTTATCTCTGTGATGCACACTGTTTTCACTGTCTGACAGTCTTTGTGCAGAGTTTACATCTGTATTAAATGGTTTTTTTTTTAGGGTGCTCATGGAGCTTTGCTTTCTTGTGTATGTTGGGATGCTGGCTCAGGTTTTCTGTCACTTTTAAGTTATTGCTAGTATGAAAATTTGATGGGTGAAAAAGGTAGGCAGATACAGGAATAGCTTCAAGCTGGTTCCCTTATTCTTACCCTGGACTGTGACTTATGCTGGGGACTGGAAAGAGTTTCAACATTTTACATAAAGGTAAACCATCCACAAAAGGATTTTGAGCAAATAGCAAAGTTGATGTACTTAGCACTGATTCCTGAAAGAAATTGTGTGGTTTTGTCATTAAGGCATTGGAGCAGAAAGGACTGTTCCCGATTTCTTTGCAGACTTCCTGTGAAGTGTTTGGCAATTCTCTTGGAACATGGTCCTCAGCAAGAGACAGATGGTGAAGAAACTTCCCATCAAAATTTAAATCTTTGGGAGGTGTCCTCCAACTTATGTTTAAAGTTCTTGGAGGCATACATTTTATACAGAAGGTCTCCCTAGGCACCTAAATATCTGGTTTTATATGTGTTCAGATCTGTCTGAGCTCAAAAACCTCAGCCTTGCTGATACCAAACCATTCTTTTGTCTGGCCTCTCTGTAGAATG